ACAACACCACCACCCACCACACCACCACCACCACAACAACAACAACAACAACAACAACAACAACAACAACAACAACAACAATCATTTTACCCGAACGCTCAGTGTTCTCCCCAGTGCCAGGGTTTTCATGCGACGCCAGCCAATACCCCCACTTCGTGGGGGGGCAATGCAAGCTCTACCAAACATCCACACGACTCTCGGGAACCACCCACACCCAGCTTCCCGCCCTATGACGTCAGGACACTTCACTTCGTGGCGCGCGGACGATCGTGGATACTACACTGGCGTGGAGTACACACCCGCAGAGGTTAATCACTTGTTTGGGCCCCGCATGTGCCCCGCATCGTGCATTTGTTGCGCATGATATGAGAGCAAGACAGAGAGAGAGAGAGAGCAAGACAGAGAGACAGAGAGAGAGAGAGAGAGAGAGCAAGACAGAGAGCCAGAGGAGAGCTACGGTGCGATTCGTGTGATTTTATGATGCGCGGTGCTAACATTCTTAAAAACCCAATGGTTTTTGGAGATTTCGGCGTGCGCGCGCGAAGAAAAAACGAATGTGTCCCGCATGGTATTATTTGACAGGGATGATGGCCCTGGCAGGTGCGCAACCGTTGTCGCAGAAGTTCGAAAAAGTTGCTCGCAAAAGCCCGTTTGACAGAATTGTTTAAAAAGTGTTGGTTTTCCTACGAATCCGCAAGAGCGCGCGGAAGAACATTTTGACATTTTTTTTCTTAAAAACCATTGGGTTTTTGATGTTTTTATGTTAAAATCGCTACGAAACCTAAGGTTTTGGAAGGATTTCGTCTTGCGCGCGCGAATGTCCACTTTACCTTATTTTTTGCAAGGGATTCTTGAAATTTGATCAATAAGAACAAGAATTTTCATTTTATAGTGTTTTTTGCAAGGGAAAACGGAGTACAACAAAACAACCGGATCCGGTAATAATTCATTTTCTGAAGCTTCCTCACGAAAAATGATGAAAATGTAGCTGCGGCCTAGGTTTTGCTGCGGCCTAGGTTGTGGAGGGGGGTCGCACCAGGGCAAACAACAATAATTATCTTTAATAATTAATAATGTTCAACACCAACAACAGATAACAACAACAACATACAACAACAACAACAACGTCGACGACGACTACGACGACGACGACGAACGACGACGACCGACGACTACTACAACAACAACAACAACAAAACAAACAAAAACAACAACAACAACAACAACAACAACAACAACAACAACAACAACAACAACAACAACAACAACAACAACGACAACAACAACAACAGCAACAGCAACAGCAACAGCAACAACAACAACAATGATACTTACAACAACAACAACAACAACAACAACAACAACAACAACAACAACAACAACAACAACAACAACAACAACATCAGCAGCAGCAGCATCATCATCATCCTCATCATCATCATCATCATCAGCATCAGCATCAGCATCAGCATCATCAGCATAAGCATAATCATCATCATCGTCATCATCATCAGCATCATCATCATCCTCATCATCATCACCACCACCACCATCATCATCATCAGCAGCAGCATCATCCTCATAATCATCATCATCACCACCACCACGACCATCATCATCAGCAGCAGCAGCATCAGCGTCATCATCATTATCAACATCAACATCATCATCATCACCATCATCATCACCATCACCATCACCATCACCCTCATCACCATCACCATCACCATCTGCATCATCATCATCATCAGCAGCAGCATTATCATCATCATCAGCATCATCATCATCAACATCTCATCATCAGCAGCAGCAGCAGCATCAGCATCAGCATCATCAGCAGCGTCATCATCAACATCATCAGCAGCATCAGCATCAGCATCAGCATCAGCAGCAGCATCATCATCCTCGTTATCAGCATCATCATCAGCATCATCAGCATCATCATCAGCAGCAGCATCAGCATCAGCATCAGCAGCATCCACGTCATCATCATCAGCAGAATTCGCCGGCCCAACGGGCCAGAGGCGTGCTAAGATCTCCAGTAACTGGTTAACAATATTTCTAGTTCGCGCGCGCGGGGCGGCCCCTGGGGGTCCCCCGGCGAAAAGTATCCCGACCGCAGCCCGAGCAGGTCTACTCAGAGATGGTTTTGAGGGCCTTTTTTCGAAACCCCTCACGAGGATCGTGGCCTCCGAGGGGGGTGCACTCGACTACCCCGCCCCAAGAGGCCCCCAAGAGCCCCCCAAGAGGCAGAAGGGGGCCCCAAGACGCCGCCAAGAAGCCCCAAGAGACCCCCAAGAGGCCCCCAAGAGGCCTAGGAGGCCCCAAAGAGGCCCCCAAGAGGCTTCAAAGAGGCCCCATATAGCGCTCGAGGGCCGGCGGAATGAGCGAAGCGATTGAATAATCAGCATCAGCATCATCATCATCATCATCATCAGCAGCAGCAGCATCAACATCATCCCTCTCCCATATCCCCATATCGTCCTCATTCGTCGTCTCCTTCGTCTCCTAATTCCACCAGCCATTCAGGCTAAGGTGGTCTAACGAGTTCTTTCGTTCCTCTTCCAAGACCAACTTCCCTTCGGGGAGCGGGAGGGTACCCCTCCCCTCGCTGAGGTTTGTTGTTCGCGAGGTGGCAGGCGGTCTTTTTCGCCCAATATGGCTGCAAAAGAGCCTCCGACGCTCCAAGATGGCCTTCAAGGCGGCCCAAGATGGCCGAAGATGGCTCAAGACCTCCAAGAGGCCCGACGAGGACCACAAGACGGTTCCAAGTACTCCCGGGGTCCCCTCAGGACCCCCCAAGAGGCCAAAGCCCCTCCACAGCAAAAGAGACACACAGTGGTGTGTGCCCTCTCGCCTTTTCACATCCGATGCGCTCGTGAGGCATCAAGATGACACCAAGATGGCCCAAGAGAGGCCCAAGAGGGGGCCAAGAGGCCCCCTAGACGGCCCAAAGAGCGCCCAGGAGCAGCACAAGAGCGCCCCAAGAGCGCCCTTAGAGGCGACTTCGAGGGTCCTAGAGAAGGGGCCAAACGTTAGGACCTCCCCTCCTTTGATCGATAGCCTCCAAGATGGTCGCGAGAGGCCCTCCAGGGCTCCCAAGAGGGCCCCAAGATGGCCCCAGGACGGTCCCACGCGGTTTGTCTCCTTCTCCTCATCCTCCCCCTCCAGGACAGGAAGGAGAAGGAGGAATGAATAAGGAAGAAGGGGGGGCAGGATGTGGAGGAGAGGAGGAAGGAGGAAGAGGAGGAAGGGACGGGGAAGGAGGAAGGGATGAGGAAGGAGGAGGAAGGAGAAGAAGGAGGAAGGGATGAGAAGGAGGAGGGAGGAGGAAGGGGTAAGGAAGAAAGGGGGGCAGGATGTGGAGGAGGAGAGGAGGAAGGAGGAGAAGGAGGAAGAGATGAAAAAGGAGGAGGAAGGAGGACAGGAAGGGATGAGAGGAGGAGGAGGAGGAGGAAGGAGTGAGGAAGGAGGAGAAGGAGAAGGAGAAGGAGGAGGAGGAATGGATGAGGAAGAAAGGGGGGCAGGAGGTGGGGGAGAAGAAAGAGGAGAAGGGAATGGCAAGGGAAGGAGGGGGAGCAGAACCAGAGTAAACCCGGCGCGCAGCACTGGTGCTGGAATGCACCCTCCCGTACACAGCATCATCTTCACAAGCTGAACCAGGTGCAAGCCCAATCGGGGGCAGAATGTTTGCTGAGGAAATACCCATGCAATGCAATGCAATGAGATACAAGGCAATGGGGGCACCATACCGTGCAACATAACAGTTCTGCGTAGCGTACGACGTAGCACAACCCATCATACCACGACATAGTGGTGTAGCATTTCATGTAGCCGCATCGCATCGCATAGCGCGTTACACGGCATACTACAACATTGCATAGCCCAGCATGGCGTTGCCTTGCAATGTACTACATAGCAAGGCGCAGCACAGTATTGGATAACATAGTACATAATAGAACAAGGCCTGCAGCACAGCGCGAGGAAACAGCGCACGTCTCGGGAGAAACCTGCCTGGACAATGCGCACACCCACACACACACACACACACTCACACACACACACACACACACAAACACCAACACACACGCGTGATCTCTTCACGAAACAAACTAGCACCTTAACACAGCCTCAGACAGCCTAAACGGGCTAACATGAGGCATGAGGCCCACTCGAGCACCCCAAGCACTTAGGGCGCTGTGCAGTTGTCAGGACACGGGGAGAAGGCAACAGGGCCTGGCAAAAAAACTCCACGGCAACGCCTGGCGGAGGACCGTCAGCGACAGGGCCAGTGATGGAGGTCCCACCAGGCCTCTGGGCAGGAGAGCCCGAAATCGTATCGGCAAGTCGGATCGGCGGCCGACACGAATCGGATCGGCGGAAATCAGCAGCCGTGTCGGGAGAAGCCACAGGGCCTCCACGAGAAGGACCGAAATCCAGATCCGAGTCTGGAGCAGAATCGAGCCGGAATCGGAGCCAGAATCGATCGACATCGACTCGCAGGAGTCGACACGAGCCCCGTCCGGGCGGAGGCGGCGCCATGGTCCCCGTCGCTACAGCTGACCAGAGGAGGTTGGCGGCGCGCAGAGGGGGGCAGGGGGAGAGGGGAGGGCTTCTTAGAAGGAGGCTGCCTCTTAGAAGGCGCCGGCCTTCCACCAACAGAGAAGGCCCGCGCCTTCTAAGAAGCAGGGGTGCTTCTAAGAAGCCCTCCCCCATCCCCCCACCCCCCTCCCCAGAGATCCGATGTCGTGTTTTTTTCAAAACGCGGTCCCCGGAAGTCTCGACCCGTTCCCAAGGACTGGTTTTTCATCCTGAATCGTTTTTTGACGGTCCCGAGGCCCGGCGAGGGCCCCTAGGGGCCGAAATTTGAAAAAACAAAAAAAAAAAAAAAAAAAAAAAAAAAACGTCTCGACTTTTTTCAATTCGTTGGATCTCTGGGTCTGCGCGTGGCCGAGGAGGGGCCACGGCGCGCGGCGCTTCCGCAGGGCCCCCGGGCGCACCCGGCCCTGCGGAGGGCCGGCAGCGGCAGAGGGCGCCGCACTCGCAGCGAGGGCCCGGCGGCGCCCTCCTCCTCGGGGCAGGGAGGGAACGACGACGACGACGACGACGACGACGACGACGACGACGACGACGACGACGACGGCGACGGCGACGACGACGGCGACGGCGGCGACGACGACGACGACGACGACGACGACGGCGGCGACGGCGGCGGCGGCAACGACGACGACGGCGACGGCGACGGCGGCGACGACGACGGCGGCGACGACGACGACGACGGCGACGGCGACGGCGGCGACGACGACGGCGGCGACGACGACGACGACGACGACGGCGGCGGCGACGGCAACGACGACGACGGCGACGACGACGACGACGGCGGCGACGACGACGACGACGACCACGACCACGACCACGACGACGACGACGACGACGACGACGACGACGACGACGACGACGACGACGACGACGGCGGCGACGACGACGACGACGACGGCGGCGACGACGGCGGCGGCGACGACCACGACCACGACCACGACCACGGCGACGATGACGACGACGACGACGACGACGACGACGGCGGCGACGACGACGACGAGCACGACCACGACAAGCACGAGCACGACCACGGCCACGGCCACGACGACTGGCCGTCTTCCCCCTCTGGCACTCCGCAGCAGGCCTTCGCGGCAGGCCGTCGGTCTTCCGGGGCGTGCACTAGGCGCGCGTGCTCGCGAGCGGCGAGCACGGCCGCGGCCGCTCCCTCTCGCGCTCTGAGCTGCGGGGCGCGATGCCGCAGGTACACGTCGGCCGGAAGAAGTAGATAAGAACACGAAGTAGGGAGGCGGATTAAGTTGATTGGGTCCAGGCCCTCCCAGAGACAACAACACAGCAAAATCATGCCGATTCTTGAAGTAGGAAGGCGCTTGAAGTAGATTGGGATCTGGGAACCCAAAAATACCTACTTTCAACGACCGGCGTGTGCGCTGTCGCACGGATGCGTTCGCCGCGGGGCATCCGCGAAAAAAACGCCCAGTATCCGCGCGAGCACGGCCCAGAGGCCCGGCCCGCCAGGCCGCGGATGATTACGGAAGTGCGTTCTGCTCCCAAGAGCGCGCGGGCAGCTCCTTCCCCAGACCACGGGTGAGCCTTCATGGGAGCGGAGCGCGCCTGTGTCCGCCCGGTCCGCCGGGAGGCGGGGCCTTGAGGGCCGGCAAGGGCGGCCCGAAGCCCTCCGTCGCAGATGTGGAAGTCGTGATTCGTGCTGCGCGTGGCGCAGGAATGCGTGTTCCAGACCGTTCCGTTGCGTGCTGTCCTGTGCCAGTGCAAAGCATCGTCCGCTGCTTGGCTGGAGAGGCGCGCCTGCTGCCAGAAATGGTGCGGCACGGTCATCCCGTCGCTTTCGCTGACCCCCGTGCCGGAGTGCTCGTCGGTGGTCGGGGATGTCCGGCTCCCACGTCGCAGAAAGTCGGGCCCGTCTGCTGCACGGCCGATTCGCGATTCGCCCTGCCCACCGCAACTTCCGTCGAAAGAGCAAACACTCGTCCGCTTGTCTTCGCGGAGCCTTTATGCAAGATCCGTTGCTGTGTGTGGTTTTGCGGACGCCTTCCCACGGCTCGAGGTCGCAATCGATGTCACCACAAACAATGTGCCACTTGTCGTCGCCCAAATTCGTGTCTGCTGTCGTTCTACCGTCTACGTGCATCTCTGCGCTGGAGCTGCCGACGCTGTCAATGGTGGCGCTGCTGCGGTCTGCTCGATGTCGCAGGGTCTTCACAATGAGTCGTGGCATCCAGCGCTGAATGCACCTCAGCGTTTGGAGCATGTCCAGGGTCAGCGGCAAGGAAACGCAGCCGTACATGACAGTTGGCGTTACTGGCTCCGCCGAACAGACGAAGTCTGCTGTGTAGTGGGTGCCGCTTGTTCGTGAGCTCGTCGCGGAATAAATCAATTCTGAGCCATCCAGACGCGAGCGTGAAGCGTGAGCTTTCAGCCAAGGTGTTTGGTAGTCTGGTCGGCGCTGATAATCATTATGTTGTCACCGTCAACGCTGGTGCGTATAATGGTCCGACCCTTTCGCCTGGTGACGCTGGTCAGAATTTGGGTTTTGTCGGGGTGCAGCGCAAGTCCGCATTTTGCTGTTTCTCTTTTGAGATCCTGAAAAATCACCTCCACATGTCGTAACATTGGTACGAGGAAAGCACGTCGTCTGTAAATCGCAAGTTGGTGAGTCACATAAACCTGGTGTGCCCCAATTTGGTCCCAAATCCGTTGCGTTCCCAGGAAGGCTTGACCTGTCGGAACCGTGCTCGAGCATTGCGTTGAAGAAGTAAGAGCTGAGTAGGTTTCCTTTTTGACCCCGCGTTGTATGCTGAATCCTCTGCTGTTGACGTCGGTCTTCACCGTGGCGGTCAAATCATCGTAGAGGTTCTGCAAAATGAACATGCATTAGTACGGCACGTTCTGCCTTGGTGTTGGTAGTTGACGCAGTCGCACGCTGTCTAGTGAGCCTTCATGGAAGCCTCCGTGGATCTATCATAAGCGTGAGTTCGACATGATTTCGTCCAGATCTCGATTGTCCCTCTTCACCCATTCGCACAGATTTTGTCCAGATGTCGTCCAGATTCCGTCCAGATTTCGTCCAGACGTCGACCAAATCCAAAGAAATCCGAACGAATTCACCAAAACCGTAAGGAATTTGGGGACCCTTTGGGGCTCCCATGGGAGACTACACAACAGACCACCTCGCGTCGTGAAAAAATACGTCGTTGCTGTTTCCCGCCTCTGGGGGCTCTTGCCGGGCCCCGGGGCCGTCAAGAAACGACTCAGGATGAGAAGCCCGTCCCCGGGAACGGATCAGGAACTCTGGCGGTCGGCGTTGTGACAAAGGTATTGGGCGATCTCTCGATTCACATCCACAGCCACAGACACCTCACAGGGGGCTTGCAGCGTCAAGACCTGCTGTGGCCCCCGATCGCCTGAGACGGAATCCTTTTTTACACCATGAGGAGGGTTTGGACGGAGAGGATGGCGAGGAGGACGACTGCTCCCCCCGCGAGCACGCGCGCGGGAGCGCGCGCGGGGGTGGAGCCAGGGGGAGGAGGAGGGAGGAGGGGGGCAGGAGGGAGCGGGCGGGGAGGACGGGGAGGGAGGAGGGAGGAGGGGGGGAGGAATCGGAATCGGAGCAGTTGCGAAGCAACGTCCACACCAAAGGATTACGCCAGCCTCTCAGGCCTCAGGTCTCTCATGCGCCGATCAAGGTGTTCCCGCCTCTTGCGAGTGTCAGCAGTCGGGCTTGCACTCCTGACCTGACAGACGAGGCCGAGGGACGAGGACGACCGCTCCCTCTCCTCCCCCCTCCCTCGCTCCCCGCCCCGCCCCCCGCGCGCTGTCCTGGGCACGCGGCGACCACTCCGCCGCGATCTCGGGTGACCCCTCCAGGGCCGAGGCCAACTCCTCGTCGGTCACAGGCCATCCGCGCAGTTCGCCAATCTGGGGGGGCCGTCACGCTCTGGCCGCCGTTCCTCCCTCCTCTTTCTCCTCCTCCTCCTCTTCCTCCTCATCCTCGTCGTCTCGTCATCATCATCATTATCATCATCGTCATCATCATCATCATCATCATCATCATCATCATCATCATCATCATCATCATCATCATCATCATCATCATCATCATCATCAGCATCATCATCATCATCATCATCATCAGCATCAGCATCAGCATCAGCATCAGCATCAGCATCATCATCATCATCATCATCATCATCATCATCAGCAGCAGCATCATAATCAGCAGCAGCATCATCATCATCAGCAGCAGCAACATCATCATCAGCATCATCATCATCATCATCATCATCAGCATCATCATCATCATCATCATCCTCATCATCATCATCATCTTCATCATCAGCATCATTATCATCATCATCATCGTCATCAGCATCATCTGAATCATCATCATCATCATCAGCATCATCATCGTCATCATCATCATGGCCATCAGCATCATCATCATCACTCATCATCACAATCATCATCAGCAGCAGCATCATGTGCATCATCATCATCAGCATCATCATCATCATCATCATCATCATCATCATCATCATCATCATTATCAGCATCATCAGCAGCAGCAGCAACATTATCATCATGATAATAGTGAGGATGAGAACAATAGTGGTAGTTTTAGAAATAAGGCTACAAATACTAATGGTTATAATCAGTCGGATCGAAATAAGAATCAAAACCATAATAGTTATCGTCGTCGTCGTCGTTGTCATCATCATCATCACCATCATCATCAGCATCAGAATCATCATCATCATCATCAGCATCATCATCATCATCATCATCATCAGCATCATCAGCATTAGCATCGACATCAGCAGCATCGTTATCATCGTAGTCATCAGCATCATCATCATCATCGTCATCATCAGCAGCAGCAGTAGCAGCATCGTCATCATCCTGCTCCTCTTCCTCCTCCTCGTCCTCATCATCCTTATCCTAGTCCTCATCCTCGACCTCATCATCATCATCATCATCATCAGCATCATCAGGATCATCATCATCATCATCATCATCATCATCATCATCATCATCATCATCATCATCATCATCATCGTCATCAGCATCATCATAATCATCATGACGGTCGCCATAATCAGCATAGTCATCATCATCAACTGCATCAGCAGCATCATCAGCATCGTCATCATCATCAGCAGCATCACCATCATCATCATCATCGCCGTCATCATCATCGTCATCGTCCTCATCATCGTCATCGTAAGCATACTTATAATCAGCATCATCATCAGAATCAGCATCATCATCATCATACTCATCATCATCAGCAACATCGTCATCATCAGCAGCATCATCATCAGCGTCATGGTCGTCATCATCATGAGCATCATCAGCATCAGCAGCAGCAGGATCCTCCTCCTCATCAACGTCATCGGCATCGCCATCGTCATCATCGTCGTCATCAGCATCATCGTCATCGTCCTCGTTGTCAACGTCGTCCTCGTCATCGTCATCTCCCTCGCCATCACCATCATCGCCATCCTCAATATGAGCATCACCACTACCATCATCATCATCATCAGCGGCATCATCAGCATAATTATCAGCATCCTCATAGTCGTCGTCACCACCACCACCACCACCACCACCATCATGATCATCATCATCATCATCATCATCATCATCATCATCATCAGCATCATCATCATCATCACTATCCTCAGCATCATCAGCAGCAGCATCATCACCATCATCAGCAGCATCATCATCATCAGCAGCATCATCAGCATCATCATCATCAGCAGCATCATCACCATCATCATAATAATCAGCATCATCAGCATCATCATCGTCATCATCAGCATCATCATCAGCGTCCTGATCATCATCCTCATCTTCATCATCATCAGCAGCAGCCAGCATCATCATCAGCATCATCAGCAGCATCAGCATCAGCATTATCAACATCATCAGCATCGTCATCGTCGTCGTTCTCATCGTCGTCATATTGGTCATAATCGTACCATCACCACCGTCATCAGTTCGTCATCCTCACCCCCTCATCATCAACAAACAAGAACACAAACTCATCGGCATTCAACATAAAAACCGCCTCCGCATCCTCGCAACTCTTACTCCTGGATCTCCTCCCTGAACTCTGCCCTCTTGAACCCTGTGGAAGCCTCCTAGATGTGGTCCGACCGAGACCCTTGGAGAACGATAGAAAAAAACCTGAAAACCTCCTCCGCGTTTCCCTTCCTCAGCAAAGCCACATTTTGAAAAGGAACCGCCCTGCATCTGTGAATTATTGCAAATATGAATGTGCGCGGCGCTAAAGCGAGAGCCACATTTTGAAAACGGCCCGCCCTCAATCCGTGAAACTCTTGCGATTTTGAAAACGAATGTGCGCGGCGCTAAGGCGAGAGCCACATTTTGAAAACCACCCACCCTCCATGTGTGAAACTGTTGCCAATATTTAAGCTTCAGTGTCATAAATGGTGAGGAAGTCTTAGGCGAAACGCCCAGCCCGCCCTAAAAACTGGCCTCGGGGTGCGACAGGGAGAAGTTATTGAAAAGGAAAAGGAGTGGTGGAGGAGGAGCAGGAAGAGGAGGAGGAGGAGGAGGAGGAGGAGGAGGGAGGAAGAGGGAGGAGGAGGAGGAGAGGAGAGGAGGAGAGGAGGAGGAGGAGGAGGAGGAGGAGGGAGGAGGAGGAGGAGGAGGAGGGAGGAGGAGGAGGAGGAGGGAGGAGGAGGGAGGAGGAGGGCTGAGCAGGCGCAGGTTCATGCTCCCCGCGCGCCAAGGCCCGGGGGCGCCTCCTCGCGAGGACGGCGGCGGGGCACGGGGGCCCCCTCACAACTGGTGGGGGCCAAGAGCCAGACGAGGCCAAGGCGAGGATGAAATCGGGTGAGGATAAATCTAAATCGAGAATCTCTGAGATCTGGCGGCTTTGGAGGATGTCTCAGGCGCCGCGGCCTTCTCAGAGCGTTCCGGACCGCTCTGAGAGCGTTTCGGAACGCCCTGGAACGGATTCATCCTCGTCCTAGCCCCGCGCGGGAAAGGCCACCCCGACCCCCAGCCAGGACCCCCTGGATCACCGGGTCGGGAGCGGGGATCCTGGCTGGGAGGTGGGGGTGAGATGTGCATTCTCAGCTGTGGACCATGCGGGTGTCGCTCGGCGGTGCTGTGCTGGTGCCCATATCCACTGGCATGTAGACGTGCCCTCCCCCTGGGCCCCGCGGAGCGTCGGATATGGCCTTTGGATGCCCAACATGGGTACGGAAAAAATGGGTACGATGCCCGACAACAAATGTTATCCAAAACCGACAGCAGCCGCTGTTGGGCAGGCGGCCTTCTGTCTTAAATGGGCGACGTCCGCGGCGACACACAGCGAGTCCTATTCGAACTGCTGTCAGTCTTCGTGCCCGTTCTTTCCGTAACCATTTCGATCGTACCGATGGATATGTCCCAACCTCAGGGTGCGGGACGGTACGCGTGTGCATTGCGCCCATATGCACATTTCCGCCACCGTGCCTTTGGGCACGGAGTGGGCGTGTCCTCAGGTCCTTTGCCTAATCCTCTAAGCCTCAATCCTCATTCCTGTGGAGTTCCTTAGCGGCCTGGAGCCCAAATTATCAAATCTCTTGGGACTTCCCGCGAGCCCCCTAGAGTTCTGGGCATCTTCCCGCATGACTTCTCGGTGCCCAGGAGGGCCTCAGGACGGGCCAAGAGGGCCCCAAGAGGCCCTCAAGACGTTCCAAGATGGGCCCGAGACGCCCAGAGATCGCCCCAAGACGCCCAAGATGACCCCAAGACGGCCCAAGAGGCCTCCAAGACGCCCCAAGAGGCCTCCAAGAGGCCTCCCAAGAGGGCCCCAAGATACCAAAATCATTGACTGTCAATTGGTTTTGAAGGATTGGCCCAAAACGGCCCCAGAGGGCCCAAAGAGGGCCCCAAGACCGCCCAACAGAGCTCCAAGACGGCCCAAGAGGGGCCCAAGACGGGCCAAGAAGAGGACCCCAAGAGGGCCCAAGAAGCTCCCAGGTGGCCCCAAGAGGCCCCAAGAGTCCCCCAAAGTGCCCCAGAGACACCCCACAAGGCCCCAAAAAGACCCCCAAGAGGCCTACAAACGGCCCCCAAGAATCCCCACCCAGAAAGGCCTCCCGCGACATCCCAACTAACACTCAAAAAGGCCTAGGACCCACAACCCAGTCACGGTGGCGGGATGGGCCGAAGGCCATGACATCCGCCGCCCCCTGTGGTTTTGCCACGACTGCCTGGCGTGCTGTACCTTACTGGTTTTGTTTTGGCTCTTTTATATATATAACCTCTATATATATATATATATATATATATATATATAGATAGATGTATGTGTATGTATCTATGTGTATATGTGTGTGTATGCATATGTATATATGTGTGTATATATGTGTGTATGTATGTATGTCTGTCTGTCTGTCTGTCTGTCTGTCTGTCTGTCTGTATGTATGTATGTATGTATGTATGTATGAATGTATGTATGTATGTATGTATGTATGTATGTATGTATGTATGTATGCATGCATGCATGCATGCATGCATGCATGTGTATATATACAAACAAAACAAAAACAAAAAACAAAAAACAAACAAAAAACCCTGGGCCTCCGGTCGGAGCCGCCGGCCTCCCAGAAAAGGTAGCTGCCGTGCCTCCCCCAACGGCCCCGTCTCACTGGAGACCTCCTCAAAAAGTCGCGATCTCAGCGGTCCAGATGGCCCGAGGTGGCCTCCAAGACGGCCCAGGAGGGTCCAAGATTGCTCCGAAACCGCCCAAGAAGCCTCCAAGATGGCCCAGGACGGCCCAAGAGGCCCCCAAGAGGCGTCCAAGACGGCCCAAGAGGCCTCCAAGAGGTCCTCCAGGAGGGCCCGAATAGGCCGAAATCATTGATTTCCCTCAGGCTTCTGAGGGACTTTGGCGTAAGCATCTTTCGGCCTTCCGACAGCCCAAGACGGTCAAAGAGGCCCCCAAAATCGCCTCAAGATGGCCCTCAAGGAGGGCGCGCCGCTGGATGTCCCCAAGGGGGGGGTGGGACCCCCCCCCCCCTTTCCCCGATCCGTCGTCGGGGACCCCCCCCCTCCCCCCCTTTCCCGATCCGTCGTCGGGGTCCTGCGAGCACAACCGCCCTTTTGTGTATTCAGGGACATCCACTGGCGCGCTTTCGCCCTCAAGTCCTCCAAAATGACCTCATCACGGCCCAAGGAAACCTCCAAGACGGTCCCAAGAGGCCTCCCAGGTTCGCCCACGATGGTCCAAGATGGCCTCCAAGACGGTCCAAGAGGGCCCAAGAAGGTCTCCAAGACGGCCCAAGAAGCCCCTAAGACGCCCCCAAAACGGCCAAAGAGGCCCCCCAGAAGCCACCAAAAGCCCCCAAGAGCCCAAGGAGGCCCCCAAGAGCCCCAAGGAGGCCCCAAAGAGGCCTCCGAAAGACTCCCAGGAAGCTCCCTGGAGCGCCCAAGAATGACCCAAGAGGCCCCCAGAAGGTCTCTTCCTCTTCCGCCCCCTCTTCTCGTCATTCTCCGCTTCTCCTCTTCCCACTTCAACTGATCTTCCTTCTCCCACGCTCGTTCCCCTAATGCCCTACTGATTAATTCGGAGAACGTATGCTCCGATGTTTACGTCAAGTTCGAGCCCGCGCGTTCAGTCACAAATGCGGTCCGACAGGGCATGCCTGCATGCTAGATATGTGTGATTGGCTTCGGTTCTTCTTGTAAAAGAATTTCCATTGAGGTGTTGCCTCGTCCCAAGAGGTCCCGACCAAGCCTCCTAGGCGGCCCAAGAAGCCTCCAAGAGGTCCTTTGGAGGGTCCGCCGAGGTATCGGTCATGGTCTTCCTACTTGTGTTTCATGGTCTTTGCATGGCTTGGCCAAGCTGGGGTCCAACGTTTGGCCACAGAGGCGCTTCCGCCCCTAGATCTCCCAAGAGGCCTCCAAGATGGCCGCAGGACGGCCCAAGAGGCTTCCAAGACAGCCCCCAACGGGCCCCAAGACGGCCCAAGAGGCCTCGAAGAGGCCCGAGATGGCCTCCAAGACGGCCCTGAAGCGCGTGCCACGGGCCCAAAGTTGGTTCAGAGAGGCATTCCACACGGCTTCCGACGGCGTCAGACGCGCCAAGAACGCCCCAAGACGACCAAAGCGACCCCGAACAAGACCCCCAAAGGCTCCCAAGAGACCCAAGGAGGCCCCGAAGAGGCCTCCAAGAGGCCCCCAGAAAGCTCCCAGGAGACCCCAAGAGTGCCCCAAGAGGCTTCCAAGAGGCATCCTCCTTCATCCTTCTCCTCCTCCTCCTCCTCCTCCTCCTCCTCCTCCTCCTCCTCCCCCTCCTGATCATCATCATCATCATCATCACCCTTCTCCTCATCCTGCTCGTCATCCTCCTCCTCCTCCACCTCCCCCTCCTCACCTCCTACATCCTTGTCTCACGCGTTCTCCGAAAAGTTTCAAACACAGCTGGGGGGAACACATGGTCCGATAACTCTAGCCTAACTGTCGGCCACACGGGTCCTTCCAAAAAAGGCAGGTGGCGGCGGTAATTGGCCGTATGCGTCTCAGACATGTATGTGTATATATATATACACACGTATAGATATAACAATGCAGTACAAGTCATATATACCAGATCCGGCAGATGAGCATACCTGATTATGCATGCATGTATACATACAAACATACATACATACATACGTACATGCATGCATACAAACATACAGTCATGTATACATGCATACATACATACATAGCTACTAGCATACATACATGCATACTTACGTATGTACAGACGCTTATGTATAGAAATGTGTGTTTATATGCATATGTGCATACGCATACATACATACAGACAGACTGACTGACAGGCAGACAGGCATATCTATACATACATACATACGTACATGCATGCACGGATACATAAATACCTGCATGCATGCATGCATACATGCATACATACATACCTGCATACACGCATACATGCATACATGCGTGCATGCATACATGCATGCATGCATACATGCATACATGCATACATGCATGCGCGCACACCTGCACACATGGATGCGTACATACAGACATGCATACACACGTACATACATACGTACAGACATGCATACATACAAACATACATACATACATACACACATACACACAGACATACAGACAAACAGACACACACACATGCACAGCCTGCATACGTGCGTGCGTGCACGCATGTGTACATTGCATTACATTAGATTACAGAACAATGCAGCACATTACAGTACGTTTAGTGCAGTATAACGCATGCAGTATACATGATACAGACATGCAGACATACGCACATACATACATTGCAAATGCACATACATTTGTGCATGGGTGCATGCATACACATATATATATATCAAGAAATGATATGTAAACATGTATTCATCCACACATACAAACATACATACATACTGACAGTCATACATACGTGCGTGCGTACGTACCTACATACCTACATACATACATGCATCCATACTTGCAGACATACAGACATGCGTTATATTCATGCAATACATACAACCATACGCTACAGACAAACACACATACAGACATGCATACAGACATGCATATATACATACTTACAGACATGCATACATGCATGCGGGCATACGTACATGCATACACAAATGTCTATTCGACGCCATCACAATATCTCGGGGGCGCGTCTCCAGATAGATACACAGGGATCAAACCCTGGAGCAGATGGGAGGCCAAGGAGGGAGGGGTCAGGACGAGAGAGAGGGCAGAGCAGGAGACTCGAGGGGCTGAAGAAATGGGGAGGAGAGCAAGCATGGAAGGACGAGATCCTGCTTAGACCGGCATGGCAGGATTGGATAGAGCGGGCAGCACAGAGGAAACGGCGGAGCCTCCTGCACCTTCGGGCAGCTCCGCAGCCACTCGGCGGCGATGGAGCCGTCGACGTCCACCTGACGGCAAAGGACGCTAGCCGCCGCCTTCTCGTGTCGTTCCGTTCCGTCGCACAGCCTGCACGCCCACCTGCTCGAGTGTCTGGCCTGCCCACCCGACTGACGTCGGGTGGGCTAGCCGGGGCGTCGCCTCGTGGAGACCCGAGTGGAGGAAGGGAGCTAATGATAGGGAAGATCTGCAGCTGCAGCAGCAGGGACACGATGGACGTACAGGCGGGGCCTTGTCGTGCAGGAACTCGTCGGTCTCCAGGCTCACATCGCTGAGGTAGTGCTCGACCTGGAGGCCAGCGGGCGGCGCGCAGCGCATCGTAGCTTAGGCAGCAGGGCGAACAGCTGAAAGGGACTCCCCCATCCCAGAATGGAACAATTCCGTCATCTCCTCATCCCGCTCGTCCTCGCTATACTCCAGACATTTCCCCTCCTCCTCCTCCTCCTCCTCCTCCTCCTCCTCCTCCTCCTCCTCCTCCTCCTCCTCCTCCTCCTCCTCCTCCTCCTCCTCCTCCTCCTCCTCCTCCTCCCGGTCGTCCTCGCTATACTCGGGACATTCCTCCTCCTTTTCCTCCTCCTCCATCATCATGATAATACTCCTCCTCCTCCTCATCCTCCTGCTCCTCCTCCTCCTCCTCCTCCTCCTCATCATCATCATCATCATCATCATCATCATCATCATCATCATCAGCATCATCATCATCAGCAGCAGCATCATCATCATCCTCATCCTCATCAGCAGCAGCAGCATCATCCTCATCCACATCCTCATCCTCAGCCTCAGCCACATCCTCATCCACATCCTCATGCTCTTCCTCCTCCTCCTCCTCCTCATCATCATCATCATCATCATCATCATCATCATCATCATCATCAGCATCATCATCATCATCATCATCATCATCATCATCATCATCATCATCATCATCATCATCATCATCATCATCATCATCATCATCATCATCATCATCATCATCATCATCATCATCATCATCATCATCATCATCATCTGCATCAGCAGAAACATCCTCCTCCTCATCATCATCATCAGCAGCATCATCAGCATTATACGCATCATCAGCATCATCATCATCATCGTCATCATCATCATCATCATCATCATCATCATCATCATCATCATTATCATCATTCAGTATCATCAGAATCAGCATCATCATCATAATTATCATCATCATCAGCAGCATCGTCATCATCGTCATCATCATCATCATCATCATCATCATCATCATCATCATCATCATCATCATAATCATCGTCATCATCATCCTCATCATCATCCTCATCCTTCCCTCGCCACTGCCGTCGGTCTCAATCCTCTTCCTCCTCCTCCTCATCATCATCATCATCGTCATCATCATCATCAGCAACATCATCATCATCATCATCATCAGCAGCAACATCATCATCATCATCATCATCATCATCATCATCATCATCATCATCATCATCATCCTCGCCCTCCTCCTCCTCCCCCTCCTCCTTTCCCAGCGGGCGAAAGGACGTAAGAGAACGCATCTGCTGAACTTGACAGGTGTCAGCTGACTTCCTCTCGAACTCACAGCACCTACCGACGTGCAACGAGGCACTGAGTGGAGTGTCCACGGGTTGTTCCGAGCTCTCTGCGCTGAACACAACACATATGCTGTGCGAGGGTATAAAGCCCCAAATCTTCGGGCACTAATCTCGGAGGTGCACCGCGTGCCTCTTCCGGAGGCCTCAGAGGCGTGGCTTTGTCTTGCGCAAAACAGTCAAGGTCTTGGCAAATCGGGTCTCCGCCCAACGCGCCGGCCACCCGAGAGGACCCGCCAGTTCGGTATCCCGTCGGTCTTCCAGCGCACGACGGCCCCAAGAGGGCCTCCCAGACGGCCAAGGTGGCCTCGAAGACGGCCAAGATGGCCCCAAGAGAGCCCAGTATGACCGCAAGATGTCCCCAAGACGGCCCAAGATGCACCCAAGACGGCACAGGACGGCCTCAACATGGCCCAAAACGGCCCTCGAGGCGACCAGCACACCCCCAAGACGGCCCAAGAGGCCTCCAAAAGGTCCTCCAGAAAGGCCCGAAGATACAGAAACCATTGATTTCTTCTAGTTTTGAAGAGCCTGAGCAATTGCTTATTTTCGGGCGTCCGATGGCCCAAGACGGCCCAAGAGGCTCCCCAGATCGCCCTCAGATCGCCGAAGAGATTTCAAAAATGCCCCCATGAAGGCCGAAACGACTCCCAAGACGGCCCAGGAGGCCTCCAAGACGCCCAAGATGGCCTTCAAGACGGCCTCGAAACGCCGCAGGAGGGCCCCAGGTCGGCCAGGCCCGCTTTGGGTTCCTCTTGGCCTTCTCGGGGCGTCTTAGAGGATTATTGGGGTCGTCTTGAGGCATCCATTTTATCATAAAGCAAACAGTGGACGCGGGACACAGAAGGAACATGGCCTGCATCATGCAGCCGTGGCAGAGCCGCGGGGCCCCCTATGGCGCCAGCGGGGCTTGAAAAGTGGCTCAAAACCGGCGGCCGTGCCTGCAGCTTTAGCTGCGTGCTCAAAAGCCCGCACGACCTCGTAGTAGTTTTGTTGGCCCCCGACGCGTTTTGCAGGAGTTGTCTCCCCTTGGTACTGACGTACGTCTTGCGTTGGAAGAGGCATGGACCCTTTGTCATATGGAATCTCGGCAGGCGCCGTCCACATGAAACGCCCGAACACATCATTGAGGTATTGAGTGACCGTCTCGGAGCGAATCAAATACACCTCTTGTGTGAGTACGCACTCGAGACTTTGTTCAAAATACGGAAGTATTTTCTTTACCGACGTGATCAGCGGGCAATACTGCTGCACTCACTCTGACCCTGCAACAACTCGACAAATTCGTTAACTTGTTCAGAAATATCGGTAAATTCCCGGTTCTTGGATACGGCAGGTTCGTGCCGTGTCGACCCCGGCGTTGGTTCCCGACACCGCGCTGGATCGTTCAACCTTGAACGATCGGCCGTCTCCGCAACGTCCGATCGTTCAACATCGATCGATTCCGGGTCGCCAGCGGCGTTCAACCTTGAACGCCCGCGCTGGGGTCGCCGCCGGTCGACACGACGCGAACCTACCGTACATTGCTGGAGCGATAATTGCCCATGTGGCGACTATCCGTTTTGAAGAGTTCTCCAGTGCAAATCAGAAACCACACGGCCGAGCGGATCTCGAAGAGAAGCAATCTGGTCACGTTGCTCGTGTGAGCGACCACGGTCGACCTGCCGAGTGCGGATAATTATGTCTGTAAGGGGTTTGCTTCGATATGACTGCGCGCACTTGCCGACATGCACAGGCTGTACAACATATTTCTTGGATCGCCGAAACCTGGATGGCACTTTTCATTTGACGGCATTCAAAAACGATACATGTCCCATCGACGACAAGCAAATTGTCATCGCCCCTGTCGGGCCCCCACTTTCGACGTCACTTCATTCAGGATCTGATCCCATTATATGTTGGGGAATTCACCTCCTCCATCCTCCTCCTCCTCAGCATCATCATCATCATCATCATCATCATCATCATCATCATCATCATCATCATCATCATCATCTTCATCATCATCATCACCATCACCATCACCATCACCATCATCATCATCACTATCATCATCGTCATCATCATCATCATCATCATCATCATCATCATCATCATCGTCATCATCATCATCATCATCATCATCATCATCATCATCATCATCATCGTCATCATCATCATCATCAGCATCAGCATCAGCATCAGCATCAGCATCATCATCATCATCATCATCATCAGCAGCAGCATCAGCATCATCATCAGCATCATCATCATCATCAGATGTTTCCTCCTCCTCCTCCTGCTCCTTCTCCTCCGCTTCCCTCCCTCGTCCTCCTCCTCCCTCCCTCCCCCCCTCCCTCCCTACTTCCCTCTCTCTCTCCCTCCCTCCCTCCTTCGCTCTCCCTCCCTCCCTCCTCCTCCTCCTCCTCCTACTCCTCCTCCTCCTCCTCCGCCTCCTCCCTCTCCTGATGGTTTCCCCCGTCTTCCGCCACATGATCCCCGAAGGGTTTCCCACTACGGTTCAGGAAACACACAGTCCGACAGCTTGTCCAAGTTTTGGCGACAAACTTCGGCCACGTCGGCGCCCCCTGCTTCTTGGAAACGCCCATGCGGCCAAACGCATTTACCAAGCTATTGGACGATGTGTTTCCCCAGCCGTTGTGGAACCCCTTGGGCGAACACCTGGGAGAGAAAAAACAAGAGGATGAGAATTAATTGTTTGCTGTAGACGCTAGGCTTTCTCAGTCCCCAGAGATGCGCGGGTTCCCTCTCTCTGCTCTTGCCTCTTCCTCTGCGCCCTCTCTCTCTCTTTTTCTCTCTCTCTCTCTCTCTCTCTCTCTCTTTCTCTCTCTCTCTCTCTCTCCCACTACCCCGCTGGGGGTTCGAGCCTTTCTGGGTGGAGCTGGGGGTCGGCCTCACATGGCCCGAGGCCGGGGACTTCGAAGCCCACCCCGGAGACCCACAAGATCCCAGGAGCACTTTCTTCGTCGGCGGCTAATTCTGCAGGGGTCGTAAGCGCTGGCGGATGAAGCTACCCAAGAACGGGGCACACTTGTAGCGAATTGAACTGACTATTCTTAAGCCGGGCATGTCCTCCTACAGGCGGATTCTGGACGACAAGTAACTAAGATTGTCATCACAAAATCGTCCCCAGACTATTTTTCCACTATTTGTGGACATGCCCCCTGTAGAAGGACACGCCCGACTTAAACTCTTCCGGGAGCACGCGGCAGCGGGCGCCGGCGGCCGCGCGACGCGTCGCGACGCGAGGCGCCCGGCTGCTGGGCGGACGGCACGGAGCCCCCGCTGGCGGCCGCTGCGGGGCGGAGGGGGGCGGCGGGCCGCTGCGTGGCAGCGGAGGCCGCCCGCCGCGCGGCGCTGCTGTTCGTGGCAGCTGCGATCCCAGCGGTCTTGGCACTGAGCACGCTGGCAGCCATCTCGCTTCGAGTAGCCGCTCGACGCACGACTCCCCATTTTCTTCTGACCTTGTGCTCGTTTTTGCCACGGTGGCACCTTCGGTTCAGGGATCCTCCGCTCCTCAGTCGGGCTCCAGCTCCTCGGGCCCACACCGGGCTGGCGGAGGCGGGGGGTCAGCCTGGCCCACCAGCGCGCCAGGCGGCGGGCTACTGCTGGCGATGGGGCTCCTCGGCGGCACACGGCTGGGCGACGCGAGGGGCCTGCCCAGCCTTCACACTCCGAAGACGCCGCACGGGCACTGCTCGTCCTCGCACGACGATTCAAAGATCCCCTTGAACTTCTAGGACGAGGGGCCTGGCGAGCTTGGGCCGAAAACGGTTAAGTTTCCCGTCCTGGCACGCCTCCCGAGCCGCCAGCCCCCCGCGGGGACAGGGATGCCAACCCATCCTGCCCCCACCCCACATCCCCAGAGGTCTCCTGGATCGGGGGCTGAGGAACCTGTCCTGAGTTG